TGAAGTATTCGAATTGCTTAATGTACGCAAACGACGTTAAGTTATTTAAGTTCATTGATGCTCCAGGAGACAGGGAACAATTACAGGTGGACCTTAGTAATGTGTTTAAATGGTGCGAAGTAAATTCTATGTCACTTAACTTGAAAAAGTGTAAATTTCTGTGTTTCTCTAGAAAACCCTTTCAATCATATAGCTACCGCATAGTGTTGATCAGGTAACTAATTTCATCGATCAAGACGTAACCATGGACTCTAAGCTTGAATTCAAGTCCCATATAAACTCTTGTGTTAATAGAGCCAAGGGCGTCTTGGCTTTCATCAAACGTAGGGCTAAAGAATTAAGAGATCCTTATGTCACCAAAGCTCTCTTCACCTCCCTAGTCAGGCCGATCTTAGAATACGGGTCCGTCGTATGGAACCCTAGATATCAAACGCACTCTGGCGACTCGAGTCGGTACAGAAACAATTCTTATTATTCGCATTAAATAATTTGCCTTAGGATTCGACATTATATCTCCCACCGTACAAAAGCCGCTTGAAGCTCATAAATTTGCCAACGCTGCACAGCCGTAGAGAGATGCTCGGGGTTTTGTTCATGATTAAGATCTTGAACGGGATGGTCAATAGTCCCTTTCTACTGAACCAGATCACGTTTTGTATTCCTTCTAGGCCTTCTAGACATTACAAGCCCATTAAGCTAACTATTTGTAGAACAAATTTTGAAATGCATGATGCTTTTCGTTGCATATACCAGGACTTTAATAAGCATTACGACTATTTTGACCCCTCCGACTCACATTTTACCATTAAGAAAACCTTACTTGAGATTTTGAATAAACCCTTACATTGCACCTTATCGTTCAGCTGGTGAACTGTATTTCTGCTCAGTTTATGAGGTAAACGTAAACGTGAATCGCTTTTTTGTAACTACATAAATTAATATCTTTAACCGGGAACGATAAATTACACAATATCTATGACTGCTTAGTACAATTGTAATCGGCTTCGTATATTTTCGCGACCGCGTAAGACAATACGTGCATTGATCGGAAACTCGGCCTTTCCTACCATGATAAACAGCTTGTCCACAGCGCGGAGCGGAAACTAGAGCTTTCCGCCTGCCACTCACTCAAAGTAATGACTTCGGGAACATGGATCGGAAACTCGTTCTTTCCGACCATGCTGAACAGCTTGTCCACAGTGCGGAGCGGAAACTAGAGCTTTCCGCCTGCCACACATTCAAAGTAATGACTTCGGGAGCATGGATCGGAAACTTGTTCTTTCCGACCATGATCAACAGCTTGTTCGTAGCGCGGAGCGGAAACCAGAGCTTTCCGCCTGCCACACATACAAAGTAATGTCTTCGGGAACATGGATCGGAAACCCGGCCTTACCGACCTTGATCAACAGCCTGTCCGCAGCGCGGAGCGGAAACTAGGTCTTTCCGCCCGCCGCACACAAAAGTAGACTGAAGACTAGGCCTCGCCAGCTACCAAACCTGCTATTTTATGTTATTATTATTACTATTATTGTTATTATCATTATAAATTAAAACATATAATTAGTCTATTCTGTAATACACTCTAAAAAGTGCATGTAAAACTACTACTGAAAAGTGTTTATTTTTCAACCATAATCTGTTCAAGTATACGCACAAGATGTTCAAGATTTGATTTTGAACATGAGTAGTTTAAAATATACACTTAAATATACACATGAAATGTTTAAAATTACAACCATTTTGAAAGTAAAAATATATTTTTTACAAATAATAAATACTAAGTGCCAGGGGCGCACCCAGGGTGTTTATACTTCTAAATATATATTATCAGCAAATACAGAAAATTTGCTTCAGATAATACGCTCTTTAAAATAAATTTATGCAAGTTTTATGTACAGTATGTAATAAATAAATAAACTTTTTAAAGTTTCATAAATTGCATTTTATTTACATAAAATTTACAAAGAACTCAAACATAACTTTGGACCGCGTGAACCGATTCTAATTAATCTTTTTTTTACCGGATAGATGGTAACTTAAGGGTCGTCCCATAATTTGGTTTAGATCCGATCATTAAATCATGAAAAAATTAACGGTACTCCTAAATTTGTATATGAGAATTGAAGTCGGTTTTGTTTTTTTCTTAAAAATTACTTGTTTAATAAATAGTTCTACAAACACACGATGCACTCAACTTTCAAAAGTAATACAAAAGTATACAAAAGAATTTTAATATAAATAAATTAAATAATTCCATGAAATTTTTACGCTTTTATATTCATTTTCGTCGATTTCTGGTTTCTCATTTTTTTTAATACTTCGAATAACGAAAACTTAACTAAACTTGTATTTTTATCATGTAGCTCATTTTGGTGGAACGAATTCGAAGTTAGCAAATTAAATCTTCGAATACTTGTTAAGTACATATCAGTGGTAAACTTTTTTAGGCTGTAAAGTGTAAAAAGCAACAGTAAGTGGGTATGCATTGCATATTTTTAGGACAATGTTTTCATTCGCAGTTCAACTTTAAAGAACTCTCAAGGTAAAAGAAAAATCTTACAAAATGACGCACAAGAAATGCAAAAGAAATTTTCTTCTATAAAAATTTCTTAAATCATAATAAATTTAACCCCAAAACCCACCCCTACGTGACAAATTTGGTATGTAAAAGTAAACAGACAGCAGCCGTCATCGATTCGCCATTTCGCTGCTTGCCATGTTTGAGTTCCGGTCGCTTAACGAAAAATTTTGCATGTGAAAGCAACAACAAAGTTAGCTAGCACGGATAGACGATAGCAAGTTTGGTTGTACCTCATTTAGTTCGTTCGTTTCGCCACTTGCTAACTGTTGGCGAATCGATGACGGCTAGTGTTTAATTTTGCACACACAAGGAGAGGAAACTGGTTACCTCTCTTTATATGCGTACATTTAAACGAACATTTTTTAGAGGAAATTTTAAACATTTTATGTGTAAACTGTGAAATTGTGAAAAATAAATGTTTAGAACTCAAAAAACAAAATTGAAATTTGTTCTACGCCACACATATGATAAGTAAAAGGAAGCATGCAGTGTTTAATTTAATAAACATGGTGTGTAAATATGCATTTATTAAGAGAGGAAACTGGTTACCTATCTTAATATACGCAAATTTAAACAAAAATTTTTTAGAGTGTATATCACAAATACTTAAATATCTAAATGTTCTATTCTCATTTGTCTGTAAGAAAACATTTTTCTGTAGACCAAATAAATAAATAAATAAAAATCATTTTTACCTTCCTTTTATTAGCTCGGGATGTAACTATGTAATATTGATGCCGCTAAAAGACGTAGCGACGTATTCTCAAGTTACATACTTGATGACAGTACGAATGGCAATTATAATAGGGAGGTTTTAGTTTTTTAAACTATAATTTTATTCATTATAGATATAAAGGCCTGTATATTAATATACCGTAAGGATCAACAAAAGCGACTTGCGCCTCTGTGTATCAATATATGTATTAGCAAATCTTTAGCAAGTTCAAATATAATAACATAAACTCTAAATAAATGGAAGATACTACATCATTTCCAAGAGTACTTCAGAGAGCGTCAAATGTACTTCAGAAACTGTAAAATGTTCTTCAGAAAGCATCAAATGTACTTCAGAAAACGTAAATGTATTTCAGAATAGTCAATTGTAAAATAAACTGACTATTCTGAAGTACATTTTACGTTTTCTGAATTACTCTTGGAAAATGTGTAGTAAGTCCCGTGTGTATTTAAACTGTTTTTCAATACTTATCAGTTCTTATTTCAGAAGCAACTTCCATATGGGCAAATCTAAAAAAACAGTTAACCTTTGTGTTATTTAGCTTTATTTTCATTGCTTTAAATTATATCAAGCGGGTTGCTTTTGGATATAATTCACAGACGTATACTTAAAGCCTCGAACAAGTTTTGAATCAATTTGTTGCCTAATGCCGATTTCGTTTCTACCGAAAAATGCAACCTTCTCTTTGCCCCCTACGCACAAACACTAAAAAGAGGGCGCTGAGAAGGCAACATTTTTTGTAGAAACGAAATCGCCATAACTTTTGAGTTATAGATGTTTTCATTAAAAAAATATATAAAAAATAAAAACAAGTGAATTTTTTATGTACTTTTTAAGAGGTGAATAATTAATTACTCTAACTCTACTTTATCGAGTATAGTTTTTGAAGCATTTCATTTTACAAACTTTTTAAGTACGTACATATTGTATTCTACAAACAATTACGAATAGTTTGATACCCTAGCAAGAGGTATGCTTTCAGAATAAACCAACTCTTAAAGATAAAATATTCTGCGATCTTGAGCGTAATTTTTAATGCAAAAACATCTTAATTGCAGGCACATTTGGAAAATACGTCAAAACGATCTAAATCTTTTTATAACTACTAGGCCTTATAACATTACATATACCTGAAAAATGCTTCCAAAAAATTTTTACTAGAAGTGTGTAAAAACCCTGCTTAACTACTTTTAATGATGCTTCTTCTTGACAAAGGTTCGGATAGTTGCTCTTACTTAATTGGAGCCTTGTAAATTCAATGGCGTCCCCAGTTTTGCCCGATTGGCTTCACTTTTCGAGAGAGCGGTACTTGAAACTTTGTTTAAATTTTAACTAGTTATTTTATAATAAAAAAAATACTTCCTCAGTTTTGAAGATATTTTCCTAAAATTGTGCGCACGACTGTATTTTAATATTGGCCCTTATTATGAGTTGAATTCGATCTTCCCTGGCTATCGAAGGCTTTTGATCCGGAAGTTGAAGACATGCTTTTGGAACAGAATTTAAAGGCATATATAAACAAAATCGGATTGTTGGATTTCAATAAAATTAATATTAAAAATCTGCGTTTTTGTTTGTTCTTTTTATTTTAATTCTTTTATTTATTTTAGCCTTACCTTACTCTGCAGAGTTTTGAGAATGTTACGTGCGATATAAGTCACTGAGTACTTAATACGGTGAACATCGTTTTAGTAGTATATTTACTGCAGTTTTATAAAAATCATCTATTATGTGTCTTTTACATGACCTTATATCATGGTATTTCTATTACACGGTTACAGATTTTTGAGCACCGACTTGTAGAACCACGATAGAAAATGCTGGCAGGGTATATACATATGTATATCTACATACACATATACATACATATGTATACATATCGCTACCTTAATAGAAAGTTAATAGAAAAGTCGAATATAAAACCAACTACTACATCAGACAATTAGTTTATATGTCTGTATATTAAGGTAACGATATGTATATTTGTTAGTACACAATTAACTATCCAACTTTTATTTTATAATTAAGAGAATAACTTTTACAAAAATAATTGCAGCTGAATTTAGGGTGCTTCCAAGTTAAATAAGCGATTTCGAGTTTTGTTATTCCTTTCAATACACTGGCTCCATATGTAGTTCTAGTAAATAAATGAATATTTTATGCCTTAATCCATCAGTTTCTCAGTCACCTTTAATCGATGTTCAGTGATGACATACGTTTTTCCACTCTGCAATAGATGATAAATAAATGATGAGAAATGGAAATTATGAAGCCAATAGTAGTAAGATTTAATAATTTGTCTATTTAAAACATGGGAGGTTTGAACGCACTGTACGACTATTTCTATGAATGTAATCATGATGCATTCATTTTTAGAGGTAGTTTCACTCTCTCTTCTCAGACCCCATATTAGTCCTTTGACAGAAACTGTGTTTCGAATTTTCGTGCGACCCATTCCTAATAAAAATGTTTCTATTATTTGAATTAAGTAAGCAAAAGAAAACCAAACCAATATTTGAAAAAAAAAAATAAATTAATTAATTAAATAATAACTTTAATATTCGGTTTTTTCATTACTATGCCTTTTATTCTAAATTTCTACAGGAAAATCTATAAAAATTGCACTTCTTTCACATCATAGCTTATGACATGCATTTCCTTCTATGGTACTTCGCTGCTAAAATGCTACGGTTAAAAGCCGAAACGAAAGCAAAAACGCAAAAAAGTCTGAATTTCACACAACATTAATATTCGGTTTTCTTAAAATGTAGCCAAATACTTGCAAATAAATGCACAAAATGTTAGAGCATAATATTTAATGGGTGGTCTTAACGCACTTTACGACTATTTCTATGAATGTAATCATGATGCATTCATTTTACAACGCTTTTCTCAACTTGTAATGTTGTATGTCCAGACAACCATTTATACTAGGCCCATTCCTTATCTTTTCGGACTAAAATATGAAAAGCGTCAAAATGCAAGAGCGTGAGCAAAATGCAAGAGCGTGAGCAAAATGCACTCACTAAAAGAGAATAACAGGAAAAAGTTAAGGAACGCAAAACACCAAATTTTTAGTCCAAAGAATGGCAACAATAAAACCAACGTCAAATAAGAATAGAAATGTATGTACAAAACACATTCACACAATCACAAGCACAATAAACACTTACTTTTTTTTACTTTTTTTACTTTTTTTTTCTTATTGAATCTGCCCTGCCTAAGAGCCTAACAATAAGTTTTCGAATCTTAATCTATTCACTTAATTTACATCCCCTAGTTGAGATGAGTATTTTCTTAACTGGCCCTAAGAAAAGATTACGACTGGGCTGGTAAGTCATTCCTATGTAGTCTTGACGTCTTGTTGACACGCAATAAAGATCTTGCTAAATGATTTGGGTGCACTAAAAGCTTCGATACATATTTCGTCTTCCGTTGTTCTATTTCGGTTCGTACTTCTGGTATTCTCAAGTCACGGTGAATGTTCTCATTTCGGATATACCAAGGTGCTCCGGTGATTGTTCGAAGGATTTTAGATTGCGCACGACGAAGGATTTCGATGTTGCTGCTGCTCGCGTAACTCACATCCAGGTCCATATCGGTTTTAAAACTGTATTGTAAATAACCACTTTATACTCCGGACTCAGGGGTGAGCGAGAGTTAATAAGCCAGTGGAGAGAATTGGGCTTCAGCTTGAGATGAGTCCTTTTAGCCACTATGTGGTTTCGCCAAGTAAGTCGCCTATCCAGATGGACCCCTAGGTAAGTGACATGATTGCTTTGTGGTATTTGTACGTTGTTCAAAGTCAAGGATGGACAGTTACTCTTATTCAGTGTAAATGTAACTTGCTTACATTTTTGCTCATTAACCTTTATTCGCCATTTTGCGAGCCAATTGGCAACAGCTTTCATATGATTGCCTAGGAGCGCAGTTGCTTGTAGACGACACTTGGAGCGACTGATTATGGCAGTGTCATCGGCAAAAGTGGACATTATCAGGCGGTCGTTTGTAGGAATATCCGCGGTGTATAAGACATACAGCATCGGGCCAAGGACACTGCCTTGTGGCACTCCAGTTTCGATTGCACGGGCTTCAGAGATGGTGGTGTTACATCGAACTGCAAACTTTCGATTATAAAGGTATGACTTCACCCTTCTGCTATGTTTGGGTCAAATTGACCCAATTTTAAGCAAAACCTATCGAAATTCGTAGGTTAATCTAATCGAATCGTGCTGATTCTTCTTCCACTTGCTTACTGAATTAAACAAAACGGATTAACACACTAATTATAAAAATAATTGTTTTTTATCTTACTGGAGAATTCTAAATATGTTTTGGTAACACTTATGGCGTTGGTGGGTCAGTTTGACCCACCAAGTGTTTTAGTAAGAATGTGTCATGCCCTACTGCCTACTTCGATCAAATTTTCCGATAAAGGAAATTATTTATCGGAAAGCGCTCACATTTTGCTGAGTACTATCTTTATTGATCATCGACAATTTCGTTCGTATTGCGAAAACGGGGAATTCCCGTTTCATGCAAGTATGCAAAGCGCTATTGTCAACTCGTGGAATATTCGCCCAGGTAGTAAATTGCTGTCATACAGAAACAAGCTTATCAAAAGTTGTTTGTACATAAAAGAGGTTATTGGAAGATTTCAAATAATGTCTCAAAGAAAAAGGGCAAGTCAAACTATTTACTTTTGTTGCAATTAGGTATTTTTATGAAAACTCGTTTTTCATGAAAAGATACTAAGTATTGAAGAAATACACCAAGTTATTGACGCGGAGGACATTTTCGATGACAGTGATGACGATGAAGATTTTGTACCTATCACAGAAAATGAAATTGAGGATTCAAACACATCTTCTAGCGACAGTGAAGGCGATGTTTTACTTGAAGATTGCAATACGACAGAAGAAGTCAACTTACGAAATTTTTTATCTATATATATGTAGGAATGGCCTTCCCAATCCTCTTAGTCTTTAATTAAAACGCG